TAAAGTGCTTACTTTTTAAAGGATAGAAACTGATTGTGTTGACCTAATGGAGAATTTCAACTCTGTGCGTATAAAAGTTTAGGCAGAGATGGAAAGGAAAGAGGAGTCAGCTGATAGAGACACCATGGAAAGAAAGGGACTTTTTAGAGTAACATTTCATTCTTGTCATTGAGAATTTTGCCATTGTACCCTTTAGGAGAAGGTTGTGGTTTTCACAGTGCTAGACATAAGTAAGGACATCATCTCTTCAGGATTATTCCCTAGGTTAATCAAATGAAAGATCAGAGGTTTTTAAATGGTAAGTCTTGTTTTTGTTTTTGGTACTGGAAATTAAACCTAAGGCCTTTGAACTGCTTCCCCAGCCCTTTTAAAATTTTGAGACAGTGCTTTGCTCAGTTACCAATGTTGGGCCTGAACTGATCCTCCTGCTTCAGATTCCTAGAGTGCTGGTATCACAGGGTGGTGTTACCATGCCTGGATTCACTCTGAATTTAAATATTCTTACAGGCTATGTATACATTGCCTTTTGTTCCATGCCTGTGTTAAAGATGAAATCAAATCAAACTTTGTACCCTTTCAAAAAGATTTGTTATAATAAAGGTGACATCTCAGATTTCTGGGACTGAAAATGGCAGAATCTAGAAATACAGAGTGTGTACAATAATAGGCATCATTTTAAAGTGTTCAATGAGTTTTGACAAACATGACCCCATTACTGTAGAGATATAAAACATGTCTCTTACATCAGAGTTCCCCGCGCCCCTTTATAGTCAGTCCCTATGCCTCACCTTAGACGTAGGTAACTCCTGAACTACTTTTTTTTCTCACTGTAGGTTGGTTTTGATGTTGTAGAATCTTTATAAATGTGCTCTACATAGTATGTTCTTGTGTATTGTTCACTGTTTTTAGAGACTGATACATGCTGTAGTTTATATCATCAGTTCACTTTTATTCTTGAATTGTAGTCACCATATGAATATATTACAGTTTATCTGCCTACTAATGAACACTTAGGTTGTTTAAAGTTATGTTGTTTTGAATAAAGTTTCGATGAACATTTATGTACAAGTATTTGTATGGACATCTTTTTATAGTGTAAATACCTAGGGATGAAATGACTAGTTTGTGTGGTAAGTATATAAGCATTTAACTTTATAAGAAACTGACCAACTGTTTCCTATTTTGTGTTTCTTTATTATTTATTTAT